CATTATTTGTTACATCTCTTTATTTAATGAAATTAATGTTTAGCTATTTATCATGTGTAACCCAAATTTATCCAAGTTCCTGAAAGATCAGTGTAAAAGCAGATTAAACTGCATTAATTTTCATAGATGTTATTCTAAGTATTCCTCTTTGCCCATCAGTCTTAATAATGCTCATTTTAATACATGAAGATATGATGAGTTTAAATCTGAATTACCTGATATTATAATCAAATTAATAATTGCCTCTGATTAAAAAAATTCATCCTATGAGTAATGAAATATTTTAAACAGTTTTGCAGAAGAAAAAAGTATATTTAAAGAAACTACAAAATAATATATAGTAATACAATATTACAACTAATAATCTATTTTAATAGTTCATTAAAATTAGTTTTACCTTGATATAATGAACCATTTGAATTGTAAAGTCATCCCTGGAGTTTTCAAGAATAATGGTACCACCCATGTTAGAAGTGGTGTTGTGAAGGTCAAAAATAAGGTCATAGGCATCATCACTACCTTTGGGACCAAATATATGATTGATTTCCTGAGCCCTTCTCACTTCATATGGAATATCTTCCACCACTGGCCTGCTGTTAATATCAGCACAAAGAAATTAGTAAGCTCATTCCACGGCTTTACAGTCAACAAAATACCTATTAGCCTTTTCTTTTTACTTTAAATCCTAAACTGACTGGAGTTGAAATCACCTGTTTAATTACCAGACTTAAAATTGGCTGAATTTGTTGAAGAAAGCAAGTATGATTGTCTAGTAATTGTCTTATTGTTCTGTGTCTTGTGCAGAAGGGTATTTGAATTATTTAATCAAATTTTGGCTGGAAAATATTTATTTCTCCTTACATCCCAAAATTTGTCCCCATGCATAAGACTAACTAAAAATTTAGCAACAGCATAGAGCACTTCCAAGACTGGATCCACCTCCTGCTGGAGACCATATTCAGACATCAGACCGTGATGTTTTGCCTTGGATATCAAGGGTTTCTTTCTAATTTGTCTTGTTTCTTGTCTCCTCATGACCTGATCAGACTTTTACAGTCTATTCCCTTAGGATTCTTAAAGTTCAGTGAAGATTTTTCTACCTCAAATCTGTTCCTCCAAAGTTTTAATACTTGTAATTACAGGAGACTCTGTGTATCCCATAATCCACCTTTTTATTCTTTAGCTCTGCCTTTGAAATTCAACATTTCTTCACATAAATCTGTTAAATAATACTTTTTATTGAAGCCAATGTGATTTACACCATTGCTTTCAGTAGTATCAAGATTTCACTCTCCTTTTTCTTATTTTGTAAAATAATTTGTGGTCTTGAAGGTTCTACACTTAAGGGACCAGGGGAAGGTACTTCAAACACCCAGTAGTGCTGTAATAGCTTCAGGCAGCTTCATAGTATTTACTGAGAAATATTAGTTAAAATATGAAGGAAACCTGCAGGTGTCTTAATCTGTTTTTTTTTTTCAAGTATTCTGTGTTCAAAGCAGCTGAAACCAAACAAAACTACCTTTTTTTTGGTATGTTTTCCCAAAGTAAACAATTAAAAGAATGGCCTCAATGCTTATGTGTTAACATCTGCTTATCTTAGATGTAATAACAAACAACAAAATTCTAAGATGAAAAGCCAGATGGAAAGATGTGTAGGTTAAGAATAACTGCCTGCAAAATATATACAATAAATATTTCTTCCTGTGATATTTACCTTTGCCATTAAAACTTTTCTGAAACAGAATTACCTGTTTAGCAACTATACCAAGAATGTTTATATTGCAAAGTGTACCTCTGGAGTAGATATCTCAAAAGCACAGAAATATCAAACCCTACTAAAAATGTAAGATCAGTTACTATTTTACAGTAATTATAGACTGTATTTTAAATTTTAAATTCTAGATTCTAATTTTAAAATTCTTTTAAAATAGTCTGTTATATTATTGAGGTTTTGGGCTATGCTTTTGCCTTAGAATAGATTATTTCTAGCTTCATGTTTTCACCTTTTACTGGACATAACTGGAATTAAAAACAGTTCCCTGATTTCTGTGCTATTCTTTCAGATACCCAAATGTCTATGTTTAATTGCTTTTATCTACTATTTCTTGGAAGTCTAATTGTATTCAGAAGAGCTCCCAAACTGAATTGCACAAGACATAAGAAATAATGACTCTCTGACTGAGAACAGTGGTCCAATTCACACAAATGCAGCTCATCTAATACTAATTTAAAATGATGTTTAAGATAATGTGTTGGTTTGAGACTGATTTTACCAGCAATAGAAGTGAGTCTGTTAACACATGCAATTTGTTCTTTTTTTGGGTTAAAGGTCAGTAATTTCAGTTATGTGACTGCACTGTTAAATTAGTAGTGGAACTCGTGTTCAACATTTTAATCTGGAAAGAATTTTAAACCCCAGGAAAGCAGAACAACAGAAAGCACAACTGCTCTTACCCAAGACTCTCGGGGTCAAAAACCCGGTTGAGATCACAGTCAATGTACCTGGTGCACCTCTCCACAGCTCTGGGGTTGGTGAGGAATGGTTTCACCTCCACTCCTGCTCTCTGGATCTCGGCTCCATCCTGCTGCCAGTGCCTGACCAGGAGCACCCCCGATAATTCATTGCCGTGAGTGCCCCCGAAGAGCCCGACCCGTCTCACCCGAGCACATGAGGAGCTCATGCTCAAGGAACTCTTTTCTCTCTGGGGGGAAAAAAAAATAAATTCTTTCCAATAGGAGAGTCTTTCTTCTGGTTAGGTCAGATGCAAAAGAAAGTGAATGGGTTTCTCCCAACAGTTCTCAACTCCGTTTTGAGGCGGGATTTTCCAGCCTCCCTCCCCAAGGAGCCTCCCCTTCAGTTTCTGTATTTAGTAACATCTCCGAGGCTGTTAATGGCACTGTTCCACAGTCCAAAAGTTAACTCTGGGCAGTCTTTATAATGTATGATCTATAGGGAGATCCTGTACTAATGAACAGTGGAAAACACTGATTTTACACTTAAATATCAGACATTTTTGCACCACAAATTAGGTGTAACAGGTATTCTCATGTATGTTTGAAGTTACATAAATATTATACTATATAAGGGCAGAATGATTTAAAGTGAGAAAAATCAGAAAAATAAGAATTGTATCTTGGCTCTACTCCAGCACACAATGCTGAAATATCAAGTTTTTTCATCTAAAAAAAGCCAAGAACAGCTAAGTTCCTCAAAGCATATCTTGGATTGTACAACCTTTTTTGTTTTAGAAATCCTAAGAACAGTGATTAGAAGGAACATGAGCTGAAATTACAGTGCAATTTATCCACGACTGAAGTACCCAGAGTTCTGGCTCCAGTTCTATCTCGGGCTCTGCTAACACAGACCTCTAACACATTGAAACAACTTTGCCAGGGACAACCCTCTAACTTCTGCAGTCTTTTATTAAAAAGGAAACAGATCTAGACCACGATGGGACAATAGTTCTGTTCTCTCCCCAAAAAACTTTAGTCAGCAACTTTTTTCCATTTCCAAAAGTGTTCAGAAAGGCTTCTGAAGCTTAAGCCAAAGAGCAGCTGTAACTTCCATCCTGAGAATCAAAGCATTTAGAACAAAAGGTCTTATTAACAGAAAAATAAGTTTTATTGCTGTAAACTACAGAAGTATTTGCAATTGGTATGTTACTCATGATATAAACATAACAGATGGTGAGAGAAAAAAGAATGTTTATTGAACAATTCCTTTTTGTTAAGATTATACTTTAGTGACTGAGAGAATATTTGGCCAGTGCCTGAAAGGCTTTATATCCCAGGCTGGCAGACTGTAGGTCTAGGCAAAGCTAAGTATGGGATTTATCTAGAATAGTTCTGCCAGGAATATAATTTCTACAAAAGTTGCTCTCTTTGTTTCGGTTCGTGCATTCAGATTTTGCTGAACCTTACAGCGAGTTAATACAGAGACTGTTTACTTAAATACTCAACTGTATTACTCTGTACTTAGGAGCTGTCAGATATTTAATCAGAATGAGTAATTTATTAAACAAAGCAGTAAAGTTGCATTTTACAGCATTGGACAGTCTGTACTGTCCTTTGACCCCTGCCTCTCTTCAGCGGTGGTGTCGGAATGGTGACACAACACCCAAAAACACAACTCACACTCTGAATCTGGGTTTGCTGAATTTAAACACAGCAGCAATTTGAAGAGTAAACATCAAAATGCAAACATGCAAGGCTGGAACATATCGTTTATCTTCTGTTGCTGCTGGTGCCGTAATGGTTGTAGTTCCTTCCAAAGTGCTGAATGAAACACAGAGATGTCTGTGCACTTACTTAACATGCAAGTATGTCTCCTAAGAGTGTTTTTAGGACAGAGAATTTCCAAACACGAGTTTAGGAACTAAACCCATGGAAGTTTCTTTCATCCCTAGAGCAGTTCCCATCCACTTTAACTCCTGGTGTCCCGGGACCCACCAATTTGGGAATGAATGGAAATTCACAAGGGAAGTTTTCACTCTTCAGAGTTAAACACTAGGAACTATCCCTTATTCCTTTGCTTTGCCAGTACTCACACTCCGAAAAAGGATGTGGGATATTTAGTTTAGTAAGAATCCCGATTGGTTTGATGTACTACACTTGGGAGCGCTTCTGAAGGAAAAGGTTTACTAAAACAGGACAAGATCCAGTCGTGCCAAACACTCAGATTTTAAACAGGAACCAGCCATGTATAAAAGCCAGAACAGCTGAAGAGACAAAACAAACAGGGATGCCGTTAGTTTTATTTACAGCCACGTTTGCGCCCACACACTTCTGCAGATTCAGCTCCTGCCCTCTATGAGGGTGACACTACACCCGTTCCTCGCGGACAGGGGTAATTAATGAAATCCCACCGAGGGGGTGATTAACGCTCTCTTGCGTCTCCCAGCCGGGCCCGGCCGCTCCCGCCGTGCCCTCAGGGGCTGGGAAAGGGGCATCCCCTTCCCGCCATTTTCGCACCGCCTGAGGCGCGAGCGCGCGGACGAGTGTCCGTTATTTTTGGCGGGCTTCGCCTCAGGGCTTCGCCTCAGCCCCGTCCCTCAGCGCTGACCCTCAGCCCCGTCCCTCAGCGCTGACCCTCAGCGCTGTCCCCCAACCCGGTAAGCGCACACCCTCAACATAGCCCTGACCCTCAGCCCACTCCCTCAGGGGAGTGGAATCTGCAAAAAGCAGTTGTATCTTAGGCGTGCACCTGAGGATCTTCTAAATTCAGTACAGCCGCTTCTCTGTTTTAAGGCTTGTGTTCGAAATGGTGCCAGTTACTGGTGCTGCGGTGTTAAGAGAAACTGCCATAAAGTCATGTGAAATTTGGATGTTTGCATCATTAATTAGTTTGCTTTTTTTATCTGACTTCCATACAGCAAATCTGGAGTAAACAATACATTGTTGCTGGTTAAGATTCAGCAAAGAAATGAAAAGGAGTTCAGCTGACACCTTGGCTCGCAGCACAGCAGGTACCAGCCCTTCTAACGTGCCTTCCTTTTCACACCTCATTATACTTTTATATACACATAAAATACATTTATATTTGTAGTGTTCATACAGGATGTTAGTGTTTATCCCTAAATCCCCATTTCCTGAGTGGACTTGCATGGATTACCTGTTTATTGCAGCACAGGGTGAAATTGTAGATGAATTCAGGGGACTGGTCACCCAGGGAAAGGTTTCATTCATGGGATTATGTGCAGGACAAAGGACTGAGAATATAAATTCTGTGAGGGAATGGTATGTTATGTGTTAATGAAATGTAGTTCATATGAGTAATGTAAAATAATTAAGTAATCTTACTTACAAGTTTTAAGTGTGGATTGTGTATCCTTTTGCAGTTAATATAGCATTACTTGAATTTTAATTTTAGGTTGTCTGCCTGTACCATTGTTCAATCAGAAAAAAAGAACTAGACAGCCCCTTACTTCAAATCCACTTAAAAATGAACCAGGTACTGATTCTGGAACTTGTAGTTATGACTTCTCTTCCTCATCATTAGGTAAATAAGAAGTATTTTTTTTATTGCCTCTAAATCCAAATAAATCTTAACTTCCTGATTGTATGCTATGAAATCAGACATTCTTTTTATCAAGAACTATATGTATCCTTTATATCTATTTCTGAAAAGTTCATTATGTAAAAATTGTCCTCCAGGAAATTTCTTTCTCCTCTGTACAACTGAGCTTTTTATACTTCTTGCCTAGAGGGAGTTTGACTCTTTGTGTGATGGAGAATGAAGTAGCACTGGCATTTAAATAGAGTCTCTTGAAACTGACCTTTTGTTTCCCGTTGATTTCAATCAACATTCAAGTCCTGTGTTACAAGAAGAAACATTTGTAAGATGTCTTTCTTGCAGTTCAGAAAGGAACTTCTGTTCTTCAAACCGGGCTTGGAAAGAACAGTGCAGAATTCTGCTTTTGGTGCTTTCATTATGTTTTACTTGTAATAAATTTTAAAAGTTCTCTTACAATAAAGTCTCTCTTGCTAAAAAGTCTAACGTTTGTAACTAAACCATTGTCTAGAAAAGCTACCTACTTGTTAGAAGTTGTCTTATAATTACAAATAACAAAGGATCACATTCCCTTTTTTTCTTTTTAATTCCCCTTTCCTGTGTGAGCCTGTTTGTGGGACATTAAGCAGAGTTGGAGGCCTACAAAGACTTGCTAGTTGTGTAGTTTTTTTCCAGTTTTATCCATATTCAATCCTTTGTCTTTTAAAAATTAGGCTGGGGGACTGCAAACCCAGAAGTGGATGAACTGCAGAAAGCAGCCAACAGTGGGTATGTAAAAAGCAAGTTATTTGTTGCTTTTTTGATTTTTATTTGGATGTTAATTGTTTCATGAACAATCCATGTGTGTCTTACAATAAGGCTGCTGCTGTGTCACTGATACTATAAACTTGTCTTTGAAAGCCAAGCAGAACATCCGATGGCTCCTTCCCTTATGAAACCACCAAAAACATCAAAGTTTAATTTAGCAAATGCTGGAAAAAACTTTCCTGCCTGCAGGTTGGTGAAGCCTTTAATGTCTATTATCCTTCCTTTTTGTTCTTACGTGAAAATGCATCTCACATTTTCCCATATGCCCGTAGCATTCAAAGAAACCCTTTTAATGTCACTCTCAGAAGAAACCTTGTTTATTTTATTTTAGAGTTATGAAAATATGTGTATTTTGTGTCAGGAAAGATCCCTTACACAGGGTAGGACCATAACAGCAGAGTTTTAAGCCCTGTTGAAGTCAGATGGGTTTAAGCATAGGTCTAATCACTGCTCTGTGTATGGATAAATTTGGTGTAAACGCAAGTGAGTTTGGAGGTATTTAAAGTAAAACAATAATTTATGGATTGCTTTTATATACTTTAATCACATATCTGAGTGTTCAGAAGAAGTACTGTGATACTGAACTGTTGTATTGCAGGAACAGAAATGAATATACTCCTTTAGGTAACACAACAAATTCAAGACCTGATAATGGAACTTCTCGAAAGTTTGAGAACTTTTCAAGCAGTTTGAAAACTGTCCAGCAGCAAAAACACCCTGACAGTCATAACCCATCTCAGCTCATCAAAACAGACACATCCAAAGGACAGTGGCCAGTGAAACCCAACACTGTGGCAAGAAGTCTCCACGATCATAGTCCAGCGTATAAATTTAACTACAATACTCAGCAAAATAAAATCAATGAAAACCAATTTGATTGTGTCCCAGAAGATAAAAGTCAGGTAAAACTTATGGGCAGGGTTAATAGGAAAGACACAATGAAGAAAGCAGTAAAGAAAGAAAATTGATGGAAGATGGAGTTTTCATCAGCCCAAGCTGCCTTAGTAAAACCTGGAGTTTCTGGAAATTTAGAATTGAGGTTTTCATACTGTAATTACCTAAAATCCTCAGTAAACTGGCAGGGAGTTGTTTGTATATTCTGAACAAATGCTCTAGTTTCAATGTAATTATTGCCTATTTAACATAATATATAAATGCCTATGTGCCCTTTAAAATGCAAGTGTGTATGTCTAACTTAAGCTTTTGTCTTCATCTGAAAGGAAATTTCATCATCTCAAGTAAAAACTAAAATAAAAAAGAATTCTTTGCGAATCCTGTCTGCAGTCATTCAAAGTGTGAGGCACTGGAGCCAATATGCCTATAAAACTGCACTGTTATTTGAAGTTTTAGGTAAGCATATTAGATTTTAATAATATAATCTGATAGTAATGCTACAGCAACAACAAGAGAGCTGAAATACTTAAACCCACAAAATACTGGCATGAACACCATCTAATTTCCCTTTCATTCAGCTATCAGAGGTGACTGAAACAAGTACAAAATTAACAATTCAGTCATCCTCCAACATCAAGTTTTTCCATCCTGTTTCTTTTCTTTCTTTGTTTTTAGAATGTGTTAGAATAAATTTTCCTGTTTAGTAGGAATCTTCTGTAGAGTGATAAAAGTTTTACCATATTTTTTAATATAATTAATCTTGGAATGATAAATTTTTGCTTAATGGGACAGGCACACTGGATTCTGCAGTCACACCTGGAGCATATGGGGCAAAGAATTTTCTTCTGAGAGATGGAAAGGAGACCCTGCCTTGTGTGTTTTATGAAATTGTGAGTATTCTGTGTCCACATGTAACACAGTCACCACTAGCTCCAATCCTTTTTGAGAATGCAAAAAGAAAACGAATTTTCTGTGTAAAAGGCAGATGGAATGCTTTTACCATATGGTTTCCAATTTAGAGCAATAGTTACTACTTTAGGCATCCTCAGACTTCTGTTTGAGAAAAACAGGTGAAACTTGGAGTTTAGCTTTTAAGTGGCTGGTAACAGCAACAAAGCTGATGTCAAGGTTTTCTGTTTGATGTTGCCCTAAGAAACCAACCATGGGGAAAGCTTTTATATGAGGTGATATAATTTTATGTGTTTGTTACACTTTGATGAAGGACCGTGAGCTTCCACGACTCATTAGAGGTCGAGTGCACAGGTGCATGGGAACCTATGATGCAAAAAGGAACATTTTCAAGTGCGTCTCTGTAAGACCAGCAACTGCTCAAGAACAGAACACTTTCCAAGACTTTGTTAAAGTTGCAGATGTTGAGATGACAGCATATATAAAAACTGTGAATGAAATGTAGAAGTCAAAATGGTTGTCCAAAGCCCAGTTTTATCTAATTGTTACTCATAAGGACTGGACATGCTACATTTACCAAAACTACCAGTGAAAATCTGGTTAAACATTTGAAAATCTCACTGTGTTGTGTTATCCAGCAAATGCTGTGTGGTGTTCAATGAGTTCCCATTTATGTGTTAACTGATACATGTTTCTTTTAAAAAAATAAATAGCCAGTATAATACCTGTATAAAATAACAACAGACCCTCAAGCTGTAGGAAGATTCCCAAGGACACAGAGGAAGTAGAAAAGAAAGAATTATTTGAACACAGAACTTCCTTGCCTTTACCATAGTAACATCTTTTATGGAGGATGGACCATGTACATGTTTACATGCCTTTGCCTTTCAACGTTAACTTTGATAGATTATTCCTGCTGTTCCTATTTCCTTTTCCCCTACTTCAGAAGCTTTGTAGCAGATCTCTTGGGAATTGAAAAACAAAAGCGTTGTCAAGAAAATAGGAAACAGTATGGGGATTTTTTTTTATTATTTTATTATACAGTGTTGGCAATTGGAAATTTCACATTTAAAATAATTCAAATATTGTATCCAACAAGTCAAATACAGAAAACAGTTAATATTCTAAAAAGGAGCCAGCTAGTCAACGCAGAAACACATTAATGGAAAATACAGCTTTTAGTTACACTTAAAAAATTATATATTTAGAATAAAACTTGAACCCGGTCCAGCAAATTGTAACAGGAAAACGCTTTTACACAATTTAACACGCAGACAGTCTTTATTTAAAAAAGTGATCTGTCAGTGTGAGCACAGGCATTGTCAGGTTTGATTCCCTTTAAATATTAAAATGTTAAAGGAAGCTCCAGCAGGAAGCATTAGCTTGGCTTGTAAAAGGTGCAGAATATTGCAGGATGCAGAGTTTGACAATTTGCACAACAGAAGTTGAGCTTTAAGAAGTAAAAGTTTAGGTACAGCAGTGTTGTGAATTGTGAGACTGCTGTAACAGCAATTTAAAAATTATTCCAGTTAAGTGATTGACTCTTCCAGTTCTGCACATGTGAAACTTATGTTAATAAGTAATGACAGGAAAAGGTCCTTTGTCTACAAGGTGTGTTATGGCTGTTAATAAAAATCTAAAATAATTTTACTTTTCAGGAAGTGTTTAGATCTTTGCAAGAGAAGTTTCTACTTGACACTAACAAATCACTTTTTCTAGTGGAACATTAATTGAACAGTCGTAAACATTACACAAAACAGAAAGAACCCTACTCAATACAGTTTATACACACTACTCAACATTTTTTAGTTGTTGGGTGATTTTTTTTCTTGACCATATTGATCCTGTCTTGTATAATGGTTCTAGTGTAAAGGCACAGGTTGGTTAGGAAAGAAAAGCCTGCATCTCTGTCTTTCTACTTTGTGGTGATTATTTTCTTTTTGCATGTTGTTTGTTATTCCTCACTTTTCTGACTCTTACATGAAAATTATCAATCTCAGCCATTCATTAAAAAAAGTGTAAGACATCACTGAAAAGCACATTAACATACAGAAGTGACTGAAGTTTATTCTTCTTTAGGGTATTCCTTCAACCTATTTTGTTAAATATTTGGAAGATTTAATTTCTCAGTCCATGTGAGCAAAAGTGCAGAGCACTCATACTTTCTTTCTCAGTGTGCTTAATTCTGCATTGGAATCTGTATTTTCAAAGAACTTGCTAAGCTTATATTCAGAATTTGCTTTTAGAGTGCATGGAAATGTAACAACAGTACAAGTGTTTTGGAAAACAATGCAATGTTCCATTGAAGTTTAGAAGGGTGAGGAATGTAAACAAGACTGCAGAAGTCTTTGATGTATATTAAAATAACACAGTGATTGTTCTGTTTGCATTTTCTTACACATCCTCAACATGTCTCTGTCTGTCCCTTCATGTACACCTTCCATTAAAAAAATAAAAATTCAGGAATCAGTTGGACTCAGCTAAGTGAAGAATAATAAATTTGATCACCTGGTTTGTGCCAAAATACAAAACTAAGAAGTACAGCTCTGAATTAAATATATCCTATGTGATTTTTTCCTTTTAATAAATAATAGAAAATAAAAAATGAGAATAGAATTAGAATTAAATTTTTATTTCAAATGAGAAAAAACAACAGTGGTGTGAGATTAGAACCCAATGTTTCTTTTGCTTAAGGCAATCAAGTGCACTTATTTCAATGCTTGATAATAATGAATTCAGTGCTATTGTGGAAATCAGACTTCACAAAATTTCCATACAAATGAAATATGGCCATTTGTAGTTCTGACACAGCATCAGATTTTTGTTAGTCACGTTCAATAGCATTTTACTTCACTTTTTTGTTTCACAATCTGGACTCTGAATTGCAATGGAAATACTGGAATTAGTTCATTCTGGCTTGTATTGTCACCACAGATAAGGGATACTGGGCACAGGTATTTTTGTAAACAGAGATTTTTTTCTTTTCAGCCTCAAACAACAAAACCCAAAATCTACACTTGTCATAGTTCAAAACAGTTTGCTAAAGTCCACCTAGAATTATAATTTAAGAAATACTGAAAACAAATTCTTAGGATTTTTTTTTTCCTATTGTTAAAGTGTTAAATAATCATGAAGCTTTTGGAAGTAGTTGGAGCTCTCACAAAAAAAGAAATTTCAGTTTTACCCAAGACTGTGAAGATCTCTCTATATCTTGGCAATTAGAGCAGAAGTAAAAACTGTGCCCAGAATTTACAATATGCAGGTGCTGCTAATAGATTTATACAGATTAAAAAGAAACTTTTTTTCTTGTATACAACTCTTTTTAGCTATCAATCTTAATTTTAGGCTGTGGCTACTAGTAGGTGCTTCTTTCACTAATGAAAATAATGGTAACAAAATATCATTAATGATTTTAAAGTTACTGGGTTCATAAAAGTTCTGACATTTCACAATATATCAAAAGTGAATTGAAGCTTTTAAGACTCAATTTTGAGACACAAAAGAAACTGGGAGGTAGACAGATGTTTTGAGGATAAACTGCTATATTTTTTTGTCTAAGGCAGTATGCCATTATCTGTTTAGAGCAGTGTAAAGGCTGCTGATTAATCCTATTTCAATTCCAGAGTGTTCGCTGCTCGCGCTTACGGAAGACTTTCAATGCACTTTTGGTCTTTGTCAATCTGACCTTCTCTTCCCCGTCTCCTCTCCTCTCTTTAGCAACACAGCCAACTGGAAGTGCTTTAATAATTTCTGCCCATTACTGTAGACAGGAATGTTCTGTTCTTAAAGAGTAATAAAATACTATAAAATAGTAGGTATTGGAGTTGGAGATATGTACTCTTTTGGTGCATATTTTGCAAAGAATGGTAAAAAGACAGACAACATGACCCCAACAATTGCCAGCATGTACCCCCATCCAATCTGGCAGTCTCCTGCATAGTAGATGTCTGAGTTCTCACAGAATCTCTTCACAGTAGCAGAGTTGAAACCAAAAGGGTAAACCAAAAGCCCAGAAGCCATTATGAACACTGGAGAGGAGAAAAAAAATCACACCAGTTATTATCAAACATTAATTCCTTTGGGAAAAAAAATAATCCTTATTTTAGAAAGGCAAATATAGGTATTACATTAAAATCAATGGAAAAAGTCATAGTTTATAAAACCCCCTTGTGATTGGCAGATTATCCTCCTTTCATAATTACCTCTTATGGACAGCAGTGGTGTCACAGGGCAGCAAGTTGGGATTTTTTTCATGAGAACTCTTGCCTTTAAATAACTTCAGAAACGCTGTGATCCAAATTATGTAGCCATGTAAAAATAAGATGGTTCAGATACAATGGAATCCAGAGGAGAAGAATTCCTAAGTTGGCAGATTCCAAACCAGCTTCACTTTCTTCTCAACAGCATTTTTGTACTTGAGACAAACAATTACTTTGTTCTGCCAAATAGAAACTTTCAATGAAAGAGTTCAAATATAGTTTGTCAGGTTCTGCTGATGAGGTTCTGATAATGTGGGACTTATCAGTACTGATTCAAACTGTTTGAAACAACCTGCATTTGAAAAACTGATGAAAACCAACATAATTTATCTTCTTTTTATTATTTATTTTATGTCTCTTGACGTTGGAAACGCAGGCTTGCCTCCTGCAATTACTCTGCATTATCCATTGGCTTTTAATAGAACTTGACAGATTTTAGTCTTTAAGGAATCCATGTCATATTCAAATATCAACTTATGCAGGTAATTGAATCAAGAGCAGAACCACTTTTCCAACTTTGAAAATCAGACTGCCCAAAGTAGAACTCATGAGTAAGATAAAGATGCATTAAAATCCTTCAGGAACAACTTTTGGAACCTGATTCTGCCCACCTTGGAGGTGAAGAGGGCTGAGCCAGGCTGGTGTGAGGGGTTCCACCACCTTTGTTTGACAGAGCACTGAGAAACCATGTTTCTTTCTTATCCCTTCTGCTAATCAATTACCACTCTATTTAAAATCTCTGTTATAAAAGGCTTTATTTTATGTACTAAAAAGATACCATAGAGCAGTCCCTTTTCCTCTCCCCCTTTTTCCAGGACAGTGTTTCGTTCAAATTCAGGGTAGCGATTCAAGAAGCAACCAGAATTAACAGTTATGTTTGAGCTGATAGATAATTCATAACCAGCAAACAGCTAATGAAACATTAGGAGTATAAAACAAACACCACATTCTATTCTCTGTGTTTGTGATTGCCTTTCAGGTAGGGCATGTGCATATTACTCTAGTTGTAATATTGGAGAGGCTTCATCTTAAACATATCCACTAAAGAAGGGAAATCACTCATTAATATTTTTAAATTAAAAAACACTTTAATAAGCTTGGGGGTGAGATGAAGTAAAAAAGTTTAAGCCACAGCCTGTCAAGTCTCTGAATAATTTGAATTAAACCTTTCCTTCTCATCCAAATGGAACTGCTGAGTTAATCCCTTGTAGAAAACAGTAAGATGAAGAAAATGGAAATGAAAAGGAGAGAAAGTGGAGCAGCAGCAAAGTCTGTTTCCCTCTGGGTATCTCACATATGGGGATAAAGAGAAGCTGTTTGCCAAGTGTTTCACCTGCTCCAGCATCCACCCTCTTTCCTTTAAACCTCAGGAATTATTTTGCAGTGGTTGCTGTGGCCTTTCCCTCTTTCCAAGCACAAGGTGGGGGACAGGTGCTGCTGCAAGGGCCAGTAAGGGAAAAGTCCTTCCCAGCACAAGCAGCATCATGAATCAGGCTCAAATTCCTGTTCCCCCGGAGCTGAGGGTGCCCAGGGCAGGGGCAGCTCATGGAGCTGAGATTTCAGCAGCTGTCCCTGCATTTAGGGGCTGACAGCAACCAGGCACGCTGAAAGCTGAGTACAAAGAAGTTATTTTCTGCAGATCTCCCTAACTGCACGTGTATGTGACACCCCTAAAAACAATCTAAAATGGAAATACAGTAAAAATGAAGCTAAACCAGACAAGGACAAGGGGTGATAGTTTTCAATTAAAACAAGGTAGATTCAGAATAGATAGAAGGAAGAAATCTTTCATAAGTGGTAAAACACCAGCACAGGCTGCCCAGAGAGGTGGTGGATGCCCCATCCCTGGATGCATTCAAGGTCAGGCTGGACAGGGCTTTGAGCAATCTTAGTTGAAGACATTCCTGTTTGCTCCAGTGGAACCTTTACAGGTCACTTCCAACCCAAACTATTCCATGATTCTGTCATTTTGTTCAGTAAAGGTCACTGAGCTTTCCCCAAAGAGCTGAGGAGCCAGCACAGCCTGAGAGCCACATGACACCCTGGCACACCCAGGAAAATCCCAGAGCACCTCCTCTGCTGGGAGAAACATGGGAAATAATTAAAAAAAAGACAGACTTGCCCTACTGCTGTTGTAAACAGCAGTGAGAGTGTGAAACCACAAACTAAACCCTGGTAAAGCTCAGAGCTGTGCAGCTGTGGATTCACTGTGACACAGCTGGGACGTGGAACGGGGGCTGCCCCAGAGCCTGTGGCGCACAGAGGGTGCTCAGCACATCCCTGCTCCAACCCAGGCTGCTCCCTGCACCTGCAATCCTGGAACAGCCCTGGGCTGCAAAACCTTCAGTGAAATGTTGGGAAAATGAGCCCCTTTTACCAGAAATAGCCGCTGCTCTAAGCAAGAAGCAGGTCTAACATTAAAATTTCAGTTTGTTCATCTTTTAAAAGCCAAAATAGCATCTCATCTGATGAAAAAAAAATTATGCAGAACTGGAAACAATCCTTTCAATCATAAAACCCTTTTCTAACTGTTAAATTTCAGTTTTTCTGACACTGTCTCAACCCCTTGCTCTGTTTCACATATCTGTTCCATATATGTTTTCTTTTTGATTGGGTTACACAGAATTGTTTTGAAGGCTTTGTTTTACAGTGTTTTGATTACCACTTGGTGCTGATGTTTTGTGCTATGATTTAATGGAAGCAGCTTTATTTTTTTCCAAGGCTAGAAATAATCTGTCACAGCTGAATGTATGTGTTCACATATCAAACGGGCTAAAAAGTTACCCAGGGTTTCATATCCTCAGGCATGTCATAGAATGACCTCATTATTCTCATTTAGGTGCCCTCTTTCTTACAAAGGCTCCAAATATTGAATAGCGCCGTTATTATCCGCAGGAGCCGAGCTTTCAGGCACGGTGCTAATGATTGCTTAATGATGCTGTCTGTCAGCAGCACAGCGAGCTGGGCCAGCGCACAAAGAACCCGTGGGGCTCCATTTGGGCTCCTCGTGTAACCCTCACTCCTCTGCACGGCTTCCCAACAACAAACATCACTTCCAAAGGTGTCAGAAGACAGCAGCAAGTGCAGCTCAGCGTTTTGCATGGTGTAATCCTGCTGTTGTACAACGTGATGAGGCCAGACAACATATCTGGGTCTGTTCTGCAGCGTGAAGCCTCTGGGGTGTGAGGGGACTTGCTGGTAAAATGCATTCTTGAGTTCTTTCTTAACATGGCTTGATAATTTGATTAAACCCCCATCAGTTATCAAGTCTGGTTTAAAAGTGCTCTTTTTTTATTTTGATTTTTTTCTGTGTGCCACACAGATGTTATTGCTGGGTTCTCCCCTCCTGAACCACCCGTGAGTAACTCACAGCCACTGCTGATGGCAGCTCAGAGACAAGGCCACACACATTGCTTCAGCAGTAATTCATATTTTATTTCTACTTTCTAATCCCAAACAGTTACAGTCTCACCCTCATCCTCTTTGCTTCCATGGTGTCCTACAGCCAGATGGTAAATGGCAGCTTCTCCTCTGAAGGATTTGCTAGACAAGGCCTGGTTTTATTTTTAAAAAGTAGGTTTCTGAATTGGATGGCTTCTAAATAACATAACTTTAATAGGAATAAAGTATTGTTTGAAAGGGGAATACTTCTTTTTAGGGAAAACAGGACTTTTTGTATGAAAGAATTGTAAATTGTTGAAAAAAAATCAATGAGACTTCTAGTTGGGGAAAACAGCGTTTTCTGCTATTTTTAAATTAATAATATATAACTCCTTGTCATTGCAATGGTTTATTCATTTCATTAGGCTCCTGTACAACTGTTCATTTATTTAAATCTCTCACACCATTTCAAAGTTGATTTTAAACCAAAGCAAAGCAATGCAGTTCTCTGGAGTGTGTGCAGAGGGCACCAATGTACAACACTCTCAGATACCATGACAAAAAAAGACTATTTCCCTTCCACTTCCTTTGGCAAGACTGATGGAGTTCCCAACATCTGAAACACAATAATTTAATAGTTTTCTGTATTGTGAAGCAGGAATGTTTAAACTGGGCTAAGCTTATGTTTATCCTTCCATACTAATGTTGAAATGGATGGAAATCCAAAGGAGGCTCACAAACATAGAGAACAAAAAAATATGTTTCATTTTATTGTGTTTATTAATATATTTAGGTGATGTGTAGTAGTGAAATATGCTGTGTGCATGAATTCTCTTCTGAAATTACCTGCTGTAAGAAGATTAGTTTGTCTTAGAAATTTAATTTGCTTATTTTAGGAGTGTATTATATTCCTGATACTTGTGACAATGACGGATTAATTGCAAGCTTGTGGGACATATCAGACAATCATTGGAATTAGGGTTGAATTATAGGCTAGCAAGGGTATTATTCCAACCCTATTACAGATTGTCACAGTCTTATGTCTTCTTGGAAGATTTTTATTGACAGAGCTTAATCTACCAAAGCAATTTTCACTCATCTCATCAAGAACTTTCCTCTTACATATAATCCATTACCTCCCTTATTAAACCTGGCAGTTCTTCATATGCACAATCAGTTCACTTGGATTAACACATTTCCTCTCAGGTTCATACATTTTATTCACCTAATAATTTTATTAGCTGCTCTCCAGCTTTTCTTTATGTTTATGTGATTTTACTTACATGATCTTAAATGAGAAAGCAGGTGCTGATCCAAAGCCACAGACAGCTTAACAGCAAGGCAGAAATAAAGCTTACAGGGAAAACCTGGCAGCCAGGAACACAGCC